GAGACCACCAGTGACAGATGTTAACTCCCTAACGCCCACGGTTCACAGTGCCGAGGACTCATCGGAAGACCTAATTCCTTCCGCTGAGGTGCCAATAAATACCTTCAAAAATCAGATCATTATTGAGGAATCATCAGCTTCCTCATATGAATTTAACATTGTATTTCCCTCCTACCATAGACATATCATTAAAGAAACCAGTCTAGCGGAATCAGATCTGAAAGTCATATTAAAGAGATACTTAAATCCTACAGTAGTCAACGGCATCAAGACCTCAGAGCCAGTTATGCTTATGATTCAAGCACTGTACCCTCATCACTTCAGAAACATTAAAGTACGATTCGCTCGAACAATGGTTGAAGATGTTACTGATGAGGAGAGACAAAAACAAATCATTATTGAGACTCACAACAGAGCACATAGGAATAATGCCGAGAATAGGAGACAAATTTTAGAGAGCTATTACTTCCCTTCCATGACTAGGAAAATAAAGAATGTGATCAATATCTGTAAAGTATGTAAAGAAAATAAGTATGAGCGACATCCGAACGCTCCCAAACTTAATAAGACACCTATGCCAACTTATCCTGGGCATACAATCCACATAGATATCTTCTCTACAGACAAGTTTCGAGTTTTAACCGCAATAGACAAATTTACAAAATTCGCAGTAACCAGAATGATAAATGGCAAAGGCATTGAAGACATTAGGAAACCATTGAGAGAAATAATTTTCTACTTTGGGGTCCCGAAGTCAATTGTATTTGATAACGAGCGATCTTTCAATTCTCAGACCATTCGGTTTATGTTGGAAGACGAACTTGGCATGGAAATTTTTACGGCACCGCCTTATAAGAGCGAGGTTAATGGGCAAATAGAGAGATTCCATTCGACCTTATCGGAAATTATGCGTTGCAGTAAGTGTGAGCGACCCGATTACTCTTTTGAGGAGCTATTGCAAGATAGCGTTAACAAGTACAATCACACAATACATTCGTCAATTGGAAAGAAACCCGTAGATCTATTTTTTGGACGACCGACGACCTTTGGACCAGAGGACTACGAAAGGACTCGCCTTAACAACTACGAAAGACTCTTGAGGAAACAGGAAAATGATTTGGCAAATCATAATCGTGTTAGGGAAGAACCAAAAGAATATCAAGAAGGTCAGAAAATATTTGTCAAACAGAACAAGAGATTAGGAACCAAATTATCTAAACGTTTCAAAGAAGAAGTTGTAAAGGAGAATAGGCACTCAACTGTCCTGACTCAATCAGGGAGAATAGTCCATAAGAGTCATATCAGAAACTGACTTACTTATTTACCGGGTTTCCAGTTCTTAATTACAGGTTGCCTAGGGGTCACAGAAATATTGGACTACTCTCAATCAGAAGTGGTTCTTATAGAGAGTGGAATAGGAAAAATACAAACAGGGACATTCAAAATTTTGCATGTTATTAACATCAAGGAATATCATGACACTCTAGAGAGGATCAAGGACGACTTGGCCAAAGGAATTCCAGACAACCACCCACTACTCCCCTTCCTACATAATGACATCACTACCCTATCTCACCTTATAAATCGGCTAATGCCTGAAGAGAGATCTAAAAGATCTCTTGATGAGATTGGAACGGCGTGGAAATGGCTGGCAGGTAGTCCAGACCATGATGACCTTATGCTTTTGAAAAACAAAATCAATGAGTTAACAGACAACAGCAATAACCAGTTAATAATCAACAGAGATCTAATAGAAAGAATGCAGGAGATAACGAATGCGACAAATAGTATTTCAAAAATTTTAAAGACTAGTGAGGACTTCCGTAATACCCTCATATTGCAGGCAAAGTACAAAGTTGAAATTTTAAAGGAGGAAATAACGAATATTAATTCGGCCATTCATTTAACAAAATCCAACATTGTAAACACATTTATTTTATCGGAAATAGAAATTAGGAAAATAGAAGAAATATTTAATCAAGATGAAATCCCGTTTCAAAACATTGAACAAGCTTTAAATTTCGCACGAATAAAAATTGTAAACAATAGTACTAATATAATTTACATTATAAGCATTCCCAAAACTGTAAAAGAAATTTGTAATGTCATAACCATAAGACCTGTAAAAAATCAAAATACTGTTTTAAATCTTGATTATAAGAAAATTGTAAAATGTGAAAGAGCAACATTTGGAATTAAAAGTCCTTGTCAAAAAATAAATGGTATTGAATTATGTCTAGAATCTAATGTAGCCAATATAACAAACAATACATGTATTCCTAAATTAGTAACTAATAGCCCACATAATTGTTCAATAGTAAATGCAGATCACATTAATAATTTAGAGGAAATAGAACCTGGATTAATTTTGATAAATAACATAAAAGAAAATATTGTCATAAATGGAAACGAAAAAAATGTAACAGGAACTTATTTAATAAGATTTAGTAATTCTACAATTAGGATAGGCAACAAAAATTTCACCGTCGAAGAAGCTGCTTACTCCAAACCGTTGCCTGCGCTACTAAAACACTCAGCTAGAAACAACTACACCGAAGAAATACTATCTCTACAACTACTAAAAACGTTGCACGTGAAAAGTAATAAAAGAATCGAGCGTCTAAATACTGAATTCAAGACCAGTTTATGTTTTAACATCAGTCTCATATTAGCATTGGTCATCCTCCTGATGGCAGTAAAAATGAGGCAAAGGCGCAAAACTAGTATGAAAATTATAAAAATGACCCCACATGAAGGAATGTCTAGACCTCAAATAGAAATGACTGTGTCAGAAAGCCAATTGGCAGCCGGCACAACAGAATCTGTTATCAAAACAAAACAACTAGCAAACCACAATATTAACTTGAATCAACGCGGCAGTCTTTATAATCTGCCATATTTCTAAACACATCAATCGAGACGCTTGATAATTCGAGAGGGAGGAGTTAACGGCTCACCCTAATAAACATCAAACTAAATATGCAAACCAACTAGTAAACATTCCCATCATTATGCTGCGCAAGCAGTCCGACAAATCAACAGGAATATGACACCAGGGCAGTCATCCGCCACAAACACGCGCACTAATACCAGCGCACCGCAAGTGATGACTCAGCGTAATAACGAGCACGACCAGGCTGCAGTATAATATTAGTTTTAAGTTGAAGTAATTCATAATTGTAAATCCAACAAGAGAGGTGCATAGCACCGCAACATAAATGTTAGTAACAAAATAAAGAAACACCATAGCAGTGTGAAATAAACTTTAACTTCTAACATTAACTTATATTCTTGATCAGCGTAAAATTCGAAGACGATTTAGCCGTGTATGCCCGTCCGTCTGTTCGTCTGTTGTAATCACACTACAGTCAAAACGAATTCAGATAGGTAGCTAAAATTTTGCACAGATTTCTCTTTTGTCCGCAGGCAGGTCAAGTTCGAAGATAGGCTATATCGGTACACGATATCATATAGCCCCCATATAACGGTACCCCAATACATTCGGTATTTTGATGGTTTTACCCACATTTTTCAACGGAATTGTCTGAAAATCCACACAAGGAGTTCCTTGGTGGTACATTATCCCTTGGAAGAGAATTATCTATATAGATCCACGATATCGTATAGCCCCCATATAACGGTACCCCTATGTTCGGAATTTTGATGATTTTAGCAAAATTTTTCAAGGGAATTGTCTGAAAACCCACACAAGGAGCTCCGTATGAGTACTTTATCTTGTGAAAGTGAATTATTTATATAGGTACGATATCGTGTATTCCTCATATAATGCTATCCCCGATATGCGGTATTTTGACGATTTTAACCACATTTTTCAACGGAATTGTCTGAAATTTTTCACAAGGGATTCTTTGTGAGCACTTTACCCCCTGACAAAGAATTCTCTATATAGATTGACGATATCGTATATCCCCCATATAACGGTACCCCCGATATTTGGTATTTTGATGATTTTAGCCACATTTTCCAATGGTATTGTCTGAAAGTACACACAAGAAGTTCTTTGTGAGCACTTAACCCCCTGAAAGGGAATTGTCTATATAGGTCCACGATATCATATAGCCCCCATATAACGGTACCCCCCTATGTTCGGTATTTTGATGATTTTAGACACATTTTTAACGGAATTCTACACAAGGAATTCTTTGTGAGTACTTTACCCCCTGACAGAGAATTGCCTATATATGTCCACGATATCGTATAGCCCCCATATAACGGTACACCCCGATATTCGGTATTTTGATGATTTCAGCCACATTTTTCAATGAAATGACCTGAAAATCCGCACAAGAAGTTTCTTGTGAGTACTTTATCCATTGAAGGATAATTATCTATATAGATATTAGGTATTTTAAAGATTTTAACAGAATTTTTAATGGATTTTATTTTTTTAAGAATTTTCTAATTCGTTCCAAATGGTGGAGGGCATTTTTACTTGTTTTATTTTTCAAGATCCTTCCAAATGGTAGAGGGTATTAATAGTTTGCCTTTTTTGCTTGTTTCCATTTAAAATCGTCCTAATCTCACATAAATTGCAATTGTTTACTAGTAGTCAATTATAATTTGGAATAAAAAATACAAAAACAGTTTTTTAGCATTTACCTTGTATTGCTGCGAATAAAAGCCACAAGTTGCTCGGTTCCAGAATCTGCAAGATACTACTAGTTTTTTTCGTTATCGTAGTAAACAATTTTACATTCTTACAGTGGTGGAACAGAGGAAATGTTATTGTTGTATTGTGTATATATGTATGTTAATACATAAGCATACATTCATTTTGGTTTTTTATTTGAATAGTACATATTCAACATACTCATACATGCGAATACTTTTAATTGGTATATGTATGTAATGTAATAATATCGGGCGTGTTGCATTGTGTGTTGTAACACAAAAAAATAGAACAAAGGAAACAAAACAAAAAACAACAATAACCTATTAATTTATATATAGAATTAATCTAAGTTTTTATTGTAACTGCATTTCCTTATTGTATATTCGAAGTTTTATTCATTCGTTAGTAAAGTTATGTCCTTTTCACGATTGGACATTGTGCTCATTCCGTACTTGTAAATTTGAATGTTTGTATGTGTGTGTGTATGCATGTTGATTAGATGTGAGTAGATATTTTACATAGATGGAATAAATTTTACGGGTATATTCAAATACATGTTGTGAGCATTCATGCTACGGGGTTGCATTAAATTCCTAGTTAGTTGTTGTCGTCGTCCGGCCCAACACATTGAAGACATATTGTTTACGCTCCTCTAGGTTGGCCCTCATGGCAGGTGTGTACGGATCAAATGATAGTATTCGTTTCTTTCGTCGGAATATCCCCTCCTTTCGCATCAGCGCACACTTGAGTAGATGCTAGAATCATTTGGGGAAGGGAAGTAAATAAGTGTGTGCAGCTTTATAGCAATGTATTGAATTTTAGTTACCTCGTCTATGGGAAATTCGAGGAAGTCTAAAATGCTTCTTAATACTGATTCAACGTTATTGACTAAATCGTCGTAAAAAACTATTTTAACATTGCCTGTAAAATTCTTTGCCCAGTTGAGATTCATCAGCTCCCATCCACGTAACTTGTTCGTTACAAATTGTTGCCAGTCTGTAAAGATGCACTTTGGATTAACAAAAATAATCAAAATAAAGTATATGTATACAATGACAAAGTATTAAGTATATAATGATATGATGAGGATGAGTTAGTAAGAGACATTCGTATTTGTTCATTCGAATTAGCTTTAGAAAGCTTCTTCCAAAGAATTTTTAGCATAGCTCATTGTTCTGAAGTAGCTTTCTGAACGATTTTAGACATAGTCCTCAGTAATGCTTCCAAGCCGATATTGCAGTCTGTGCCTTAAGTTGGGATCGAAAACGGAATCGGAGTCGGAAAGCGGATATTGCATTAATTTTATTCATCAAAGCTACATTATCTTCCACCTACGACTTTCGTAGCTAAAATCAAACTCGACTCCGAAGCCTTGTCCCAAAATAATATTTTTCAATATAGTTAAAGTCAAGACAAATTTAATAAGGACAATCCAGAAATTGGTTTAAAAGGAAATTTTGGTTACGTCGGCGCTAGCCCATATTGAACAATCTGAATATAGTCAGAAAATTTTTCATTAAAAAGATCGGTTAAAGATCGGTCCGTTCATATTTGCTCGTTTATGTTAAGTCAATATTTTTATACCCACAACCAAGAGGACATTTACATTATTACAAAATAGATTGCCTTGTATCTTTGGTTTCTGTTTCATTGTTGTTTAGGCCAACTAAGCTATTATTATAACATGTTTGTATAATGTTCCAAATTGACATTCAAAATTAACCAAATTCCGTATTTAATATATGACGACACGGCACATTATATACCTGTTTTGTCGACATTACGACCATGAAAAGAATCTGGTACAATATTTTTTTCGTTAATTTATCACAAATAAATATCTACAACTTCACATGTTCTTCGGTTTTAAGAAAATGTCCAACTCTTGTGGAACAAGAAGTTACAGTTTACCCTACGCTTAATACAGCAAATATGTTTTTCAAATACAAACCAAGCTACATTTCTTATTTCTAAGATTTATATTGACCTACTTTGTCCTAAAATTACCGAAAACCATGTTGTTTTTGAGATCACACAGCCTGTTTTTGTATCATTATTTTTAAACCCTCCACCATACATAGTATGGAGGGTATATTCAGTTCGTCATTCCGTTAGTAACTCATCGAAATAATCATTTTAGACATAACAAAACATATACAAATTCTTGATCAGCATAAAATTCTAAGACGATTTAGCCCTGTCCGTCCATCCGTCTGTTGTAATCACGCTAGAGTCAAAATGAATAAAGATAGAAAGCTAAAATTTTGCACAGATAAGTCTTTTGTGTGCAGGAAGGTCAAGTTCGAACATGGGCTATATCGGTCCATGATATCCTATACCCCCCCCCCCCCCCCCCCATTTAACCGTACGCCCCAAAATTCGGTATTTTTATGATTTTAGTCACATTTTCCAATGGAATTGTCGGAATATCCACACAAGGAGTTTTTTCTGAGAACTTTACCCTTTGGAAGAGAATTATTTATATAGGTCCACGATATCAAATAGCCCCCTTACAACGGTACCCCTCGCTATTCGGTATTTTGATAATTATAGCCAAATTTTTCAACGAAGTTGTCTGAAAATTGAAATTTTAGTCACATTTTCCAATGGAATTGTCGGAAAATCCACTCAAGGAGTTCTTTTTGAGTACTTTACCCTCTGGAAGAGAATTTTTTATATAGGTTCACGATATCGTATAGGCCCCCATACAACGGTACCCCCGATATACAATATTTTGACTTTAGGGACATTTTTCACCAGAGTTGTTTTTAATTTCTTTAGCCTATGACATAAAATTGCGTACACAGGCCCAAGCCTTTGAATAGCTTCCATATAACGGTACATCCCAATATTCGGTATTTTGATGATTTTAGCGAAATTATTCACAGGAGTTGTTTCAAATTTCGTATTTAAAGTTCGTAATGGGAACTACAGTCTATGACAGAAAATTGTCTATAAAGGTCCAGGCATTGGGGTATGCCCCATATATCAGTACCTCCCTATATTCCGTATATTTCCCCTTGTATTTTTGGTTTTTGTAACGAAAAAATACAAACGAAAATGTCAGAAAAAAAAAACGACAGGAGGAGATCCATCGTTTTGAGCAGAAACTGACTGTTTCTTACAGAATCTCACCAAAAGTGTATGTGTATATGAACTATTTTTATATATCAACTTTTTGTTAGCGGACTTTGCAGGACTATATTTTTTAAATGTTTTCTCTATATTTTTGATTTTATTTAACAAATTTGTAATAAAATTTGAATTTATTGGAGTTGCCACAATCAGCACAACTCTAAATGCTAATTGCTATTTCCGACATTTTTTGCTTTTTTTCTTCAAAAAAATTAAAAACAAAAGTAAAAATTATGGTGTATATATGTCATATATTCAGTTTTCGTGGTCTTCAATTTTTTATTCAAAATCAATGCAACAAGTTGTTTGGTTTTTTTGATTCTTTTGATAGTAATTCTGACATTACAAACCAAACAGGTAGACCTCTATACTTGCATTTTTTTCAATGTCTACTAGCATACCTTGTCTTCATTGGATTGGATATTCCTAATAACAGAACTGAATCAGAAGTCATACTTTTCTGGCCGAAAAGGCCAGGACCAAATATTATTTTGGCTTTATTATAGCCAAATTCCATTGAAGCAACCACTATATGAAGCTATATCGATATGCCAAATTACAGCTCATCCGGTTTAAAGTTGCTACTGAAACATTTAAAATACAACTGGGCTCCGTATTGTTGACGGGTCGATATCGTTGTCAACACCATTCATCCTCAGAATATTTTATATGCAATCGTCATTAAGAATGAATTATACTCAATCAGGACAAAATGAATTAAAATAGGTAATTCGGGATTTTTCTAAATATTTGTAGGCTAAATTTAGGGGGTTTCAAATAAAACATACATTTGCCTTTTGTTCTTTTGTAGCGGTCTGGAGAAGCGAATCCAACATGCCCTCCACTTTGTCGATTGAATTCAGCAATTATAGCCTTTTCAGGATCTCTAACTAATAGTATAGCCTTTGAAAAGGGAGCCCATGCTTTGGGCCCCCATTCGTGAGTTTTTACTAATAACACAGAACTGTTGCATACATTTTCGCCAGGAAACCCGGTCTTTAGTAGTCCATAGTCTTTGTAAATACTTCCAGTCAGGATACCTAAAAGAGTTTCAACATAACCCACTATATATTAATTAAAAGTGCCGATGGTATAATAAATACCTGTAGACTGTTGCAGTAAATATCTAAGCCATGTATTGCCGCTTCCGGGAAAAGACGCCAACGCAGTCAATCCAGTCTTACTATTATCATCATTGTCGCTAATGTTTGGATCTGTTTAAAAAAGTGGATTTTTGACCAACTGGTGTGCCAATATCTGAAGCAAACTTACTATTAAATTCGGAAGCTGCATCTGCAGGTTCTGCTGGAAGCTCTGGTTGCATATATCTTAGTTCTTTACACCATCTAATTGTCATCTTTTGACTAATGCCATGCTTTTGATTTCGGTAATTAGGAAACTAAATTCGGAAATGAAGAACACATTAAAACACACAGCAAATTCTTCGCCTCTGTTCATTCCCACTTACCTCTGCAAAACGTTCAGTACGTATTCGTCTAGGATGTGAGCCAGGAACATTATTCATGGATAGAAAGAGGACTCCTCCAATGTATATAACAATTGTTACCGTTACGCCGCAAAGTCGCCAACCTTGTAATGCCATACCGCCTCTTTTTCATTACTGTCCAAAAATAAAAAGGACATTTTATTAAATATTTGTACTGGAATGCGCATTTTTAGGATGCACCTAATGTTTTGTACCGACAGCCTTTATGTGTCTAATACGGATTTTGGTTAACTTAAATATATAATCGGATAAAACATATATATATGAGAGCCATATCTAAATCTGAATTTAATACACTTATAGGCAATTCGATCATATGTATAAACCTGAAATCGGGCGAATATATACGGGAGCTATATCTAACTCTGGACGGATTATCATTAATTGAAATTGCGTTCGTTCTTGGGCCAATGATCTGTGCAAAATTCCATTACAATCGACATGCATAAATCGATGCAGAATGTGATGTATGAAGATCATCAAAAGTAACTACGGATCTACCTCGTTTCCTGTACAAGTTTACATTTTCTTCATTTTATTGAGATTTTTCTTCAAATTTTATTATACCCGCAGCCACACGACGAAATAACTTTTAACACCATGGAACATAAAAATTTTCAAAAAAAGAAAAAAACTCCGAAAAATACCGCTTGATTAAAACCCTAATATGGGGGCTATACGAAGGCGTGCTACTGCATGTGTAATTTTTTTATAGGCTGTAGCGACAATTCCGATGTCGCTAATATCATAAAAATACCCAATATTGGATGATACCGATATATGTGGGCTATAAGAAGACGTAGACCTACATAGACAATTTTCTCTTGCAAGTTGTAGTACCTATGTTCTTTAAATACGAAATTTGAATCATTTCCGATCAATAATGTCGCTAATATCACAAAAATACAGAAGACAGAATACAGGGCATACACATGTATTTTTTCATAGGCTGTAGTTCCCATTAAGATCTTCCATTACGAAATTTGAAACAATTCATTTTGATGCAGGTTGTAGAATCCATTATGAAGTACAAATACCAAATGTTCAAAGAAATTTGTTAGAAAATGTGCCTTAAATCTTGAAAATGCCGAATATCCGATGGAACCGTTATATGTGCCCTATAGAAAACGTGGACGTAGATATTCAAGTTCTGCCACTGGAGCTTGAACCCATAACGATCTACAAATACCAATTTTTAGACAAATCCGTAGAAAAATATAGGAAAAACCGTCAAAATACCGAATATCGGGAGGTGCCGTTATACAGGGGCTATAGGAAAACGTGGACCGATATATATCATTTTCAATGCCAACCATCCTAGACACAAAGCAAATAACGGTGCCAAAAGCTCTACGTTAACTAATGTGAGCTGAATCGTGATTTCAACAGACGGACATCGTTAAATCGACTTAGAATTTTATGCTGATCATGAATATATACTTTTTATAGGGTCTATGACGAATATTTAGAGGTGTTACAATTGGGACGAAAAATTTAATATACTCTCCTTTCAAAGGTGGAGGGTATAAAAATACAGGTAAATAATGTCGCTAAAATCATTAAAATGCCGAATATCGAGAGGTACCATTATATGGGGGCTATACGAAAATGTGGACTGACATGACCCATGTACGAACTTAACCTGCGTACTGACAAAATACACACGTGTGCAAAATTTTGGAGGGTATAAAAACAGACATTGGCTGTGATTTGAGTTTACGACTTAAAGCGGCTTTTGCTTGTCAACTGTAATTCTGAAACCGCGAATTTCTTCTTCTCAAAATACTTACAGATAAATAGGGTTTGAGTATGTTTATTTTTGTAACAAATAATATTTTTTTGTGATGATGTGTTCAGATCTGTTGGTGGCATTCTGCTCTAAATTTAAAATGTATGTATATGAGTAAGCTACATGTGTAACGAATACAATTTATAAATGTTTATACCACACACCACATTGTTCGATGATCATCTTAGAGCCACTGGATCTATTTATGCAAGATATTCAAATATTTGGGGGCGTGCAGATTTAGAATATTTGGTTTTGATTTTGAAAATGAACCCCTTTCAATTTCATTTTTAAATTTGCCAGTACACAAAGAAGAAATAACCTTCTGTTTGGCGTAAATAACATTTTGATTTTTATACCCTTCACCGCATAGTGGTAAGGGTATTTTGTCTTTGTGCATTTGTTTGCTAGAAGAGGGAAGCGAGAAAATTTCCTCAGTTACTTTTGAGGATCTTCATAGAATAACTTTCTGAGCTGATGTATGTATGTATGTATGTCAGTCGGTCAATGTATTTTTGTGAACAAAATGTAGATCTCATTTATTATCCGATTGAGATGAAATTTTCCAAACAACATTTGTGTGTCCTAAGGACGAACCCTATTGAAAATGGTGAGAATCGGTTCAAATTTAAATATCGTTCCCATTTATATCTTCAATCGATTTCGGGGTAATTCTGCAATTCCGACTGAATTCATCCTAGAAACAAGTACTTCAACTGTGGTAAAAATCGGTTCAGATATGGCTTCATGGGATATATGTTTTATCCGATTCGGTGTTAAAGTCCCTCACATGCGTACTATGCACTCCACAACTATAATTTGTAGTACCCGACATCAGATACAGCTCAGAAATAAGTGTTTAACATTTTGTGAATATAGCTTCCATATATATCTTTATCAATTTTCAGGGTTTTTGTGCACCAAATGGCTAATATGGACTGAAGTGGACTGAATTTTAGCCAAATTTGGTATATATATATATATATACATATATATATATATATATATATATATATATATATATATATATATATATATATATATATATATATATATATATATATATATATAAATCAATTGTTGTTTGTTGGTAATGGAATCAGTTGAAAACGGCTGGACCGATTTGCATAATTTTTTGTACAAACGTTCGTCATACCCCGAGTCGGTTTGAAAATTATTACACGAGATACTGTTGACTTTCCTCCAAACTAAGGAATTTATTTGGGCGCTAGGGAACTGACCACGCATACTTCTAATCTATCTATATATATATGTAAGGAAGTTGTGTTAGTTACTACGCTCATAACTCAAGAACCGCTGATCTGATTTTAACGATTTACACAAATTCGGAATTGTCTCTTGGCAGAAAAGGATAAAATCTGATTTTTTTCCATTTTGACTTACTATTTCGGAATGTACATTTGTAGTTTTTTTAAATTCTAATATGATGTGTAGTCTTTTTGGGTAGTAGAAAGCGACGAAAATTATGAGTGGCGGAACTGAATAGATGTTGTCAAAATAATTTAATGTGGTCAAACCAAAATTGCTAAAAAATCAAAAAAGAGCATATTGCACTAAAATAGGGAAAAACTGAGAACATTTTTTCAATGGAATCAAATTTCAAAATAATAGTATGGACCAAACTTCGTAAGGAACTTTAAATATTCGCTGTAAAAAAACAGCGAACAAGTTGAAGATTTTTTTCTTATAACTCAAGAACGTTTTGACGGATTTTCACAATCCATACAACTTCGGACTGGAATCTTGGAATGCTGGACTGGACTGGAATGCGTAAAATATGCCAATAAAAATATAAAAGAAAAGATCCTTTTGGTGTGAAATTTTTTTCAATTTAAAAACTATATATAGAAGTTTACTTTTTTTGTTTTGAATTCTGAATGAATAATATCAAAAATGAAATAGTACGCAATACGATGTTAAATGGCGATCTTTCATGTCTGAAATTGGCATTTAGCTTTCAACTCCAGGATCTTCAGCTGAAAGATGCGAACACATTTAAACGAACAAAAATAACCGACAAAACGTTATGGGGCTCATTTCAACACGTGGACCTACCTACTTCTTTCACATGACAATAATCCGTCCAATGAAAACTCAATATGCAAAATTCATTGGGACTGCAATCGGTGAAAAACCGAATATAAAGGGAAAAGGATTTCTATTCTTTCAGAAATTCTCCCTAAACTTTCACGATACCTTAAATCACTCCCTTATCCGGGAGTTTTGCCATAACTCCCGGATAAGGATACAACCCGATTTCAAGTATATCTTACATTTTAACCATATTTTCATACTAATTTCGGCAAATGTTGGTAATTTGGGAAGAAACCATCCATGCAAAAACTGATCACGTTTTGTATAACCATCACATGAAAACATTTTGATATAAAAGTATGATGTTACAAATGGAATGAAAAGTTAATATACCCTCCTTTCCAAGGTGGATGATATAATAGCATTAAAGACTAAAATTACGGGCCGGCAACGCGGACCGGGCCAGCTAGTATATATATGTATATGTATATATATATATATATATATATATATATATATATATATACTAGCTGGCCCGGTCCGCGTTGCCGGCCCGTAATTTTAGTCTTTAATATATATATTAATTAATATATATTATAATATATATATATATATACATATATATATATATATATATATATATATATATATATATATATATATATATATATATATATATATATATATATATACATATATTTATATTTTGATACCGGGCATTGAATATACTTTTTTCATATTCCACCGAATTTTTCCATTTGGTGAGACTCGGTCCGGTTTATCTGGTTTATTTATTATAATCCTTATCGAAATTATAATATAATCCTTATCGAAATCATATCATGCACTATAGAGCGATATTATTTCGTTCATAACTAAATACGCGTAGTGGTGTAGGGTATATTATAGTTGGCCCCATCCGTCTTTTGAACGTTCCTTACTGGTTTTTATTGAAAAGGTGTTATTTCATAGATAATCGTTTGAAGTTGAAGGGCACTAGTCGGATTATAAGAATTGGTGCAATGCGTCTTCTAGAACACATCAAAACTGCGAAATATTTTATTCTCTGCAACAGAAAAGAGGAATTGCTAATTTCTCTGTTTCGGATCCTACGATAGACCGTTTTCCCTAAATTTTCATTAATCCGCCGTAAGCTTGTATAGATAATTAGCTGCCGCAGGAGTAACTTAAAAGTTGTTACTTGGAGTTGCAATAGATATGACTACCATTCCGTTAAAAATGTGGCTTAAATCATCAAAATATCGAATGCCGAATATGGGGGCAATACGAAGACGTAGACCTGCAAGCACGAATTTTGAATCAATTCCTACTACAACCTACTTGATTTTTTTTCGAAAGCTTTCCCTAGGCGGGCAGACAGATGGATGGACGGACTTGTTACAAACTAAATGGCGTAGAGCACAGAGGACATAGCATACGATTTTCTGATTTTAGATGTTTACATTTTTGTTTGTAAATCGTTGTTTATGATTTTTTTGTTTTCGCAAATACAACTCTTCGATTTCTCGAGCTAATTCCTTATAAAATATTACGTTTCCGGTTTTGCTTTGACGCTGGACGTTAATGGTGTTGTTGTAGATTTACAAAATTAACCTAATGAATATTCCGTTCATTAATTATTCTGAGGAAAACTTTCTTTAATAATTAACGTGCCTGGTACGAAGTGAACAATCCATTGTTTGAAATTTTGGGGGAATAAGGTTACCAATGTGGATGTCGCGATACTAGATTACAAAATAACAAATGCATATTCGAGGACAATAAAAAAGAAGAGCTTTTTATGAATTTCCCTTACAATCGAATTGTTTCGTGTAAATGATTTTTGTTACGAAAGTCTCAGCAAAAATTGCTAAGATCTGGAAACGGTTATGCATTGGTCGTCTATTGGATCACTTGAACATCTGGAATTGTTCTTCTCGACGAATTGGCCAGATGTTTGGCTATGATAATGTTAATGTGTGTGTGTGTGCATCTACATATTTATTCACTTCTGCTACTCACTTTTACACTTTTTATTGGATAATGTGGCTTGTTTGGATGCACGTTGTTTTCATTTTTCGGGTGGTTTTTGTGTTTTCGTTTTCTTTTTCTTTCTGAATGGCGTTTCTTGGGTACACGGAACACACGGAGCAACCTCACTCGCACTCAGATAATGACTGAATTTCCACTATACAGTTTCACTGGGGTCGTTATACTGTGGGAAGGGTGTTTGGTTATTTGGTGGTTTAGTTTCACTTGGAAGTATGAATGAATGAATGGCTAGCTGGTTAGGTAGATGATGACCAGGCTGGCTGGTTGACTGCTTAACAATTGTTTATCATTTTGAGTGCCTAGGAAACCTAAAAATTGGGTTTGGCAGTTGTTCGTTGACACTTTAAATGATATTTCAATACTGCAAAGACTTGACGTATTAATTTATCTATATGTTCTTCTAATTTTCAGAGGTTTGTTATATTCACTTGGTTACGAGGATGGCGGATGATGATGACGAAGAACTCTGGGAAAACAAATAAAATAAATAATATTTTGGTAATTTGGCATTCGGTGCTAACGCGCATGTCGTGCCAAAAACCTAAATTGAGAGCTGATTTTGTTGTAACAATTCGTCGACGATTGGTGTATCAGCTGAGTATTCAGCAAAAGCAATTAAACTTGGGAAGCTTTAAGCTTTAGAAGCACTGCAAACGTCTAACTGTGTCAGAAATAAACAAATTCAAAGTGAATATTTTTTTAAAAATTACAGAACAGTGTTGGCATTTGTTTAATGCCGTAGATATTTTGTTGTTGCAAAATAGCCAGGCTTAATTTAGCAGGGGGTAAAGTAGGAAATACCGTCCTCTCGTTAAGAGCCACCAGTCCTCATCAACTCCCCTGGTTTTTGTCCGGACATATTCTCCCCAAGAGTTATTTAAAAAACAAGTCCTAAAGCAAAAACTTGTTATACTCAAGTGGCAATCACAAGCTCAGTAGAAGAAGAAAATTAAAATTTCTCTGGCATTTTTGTAATCATTTTCTTTAATAATAAATACTTTGTTTTGTTCTTTTGGATTAAACCTGATTATTTTGCAACAACAACAAACATTATATCTGTCGTAAGTTGTAGTACTCATGAAAATCTTTAAATACGAAAATTGAATCGATTCCGATGAATAATGCCGCTAAATAATAGAATGGCAAAGTTAACATCTATATCTATAAAAGAGGAAAATGTTTGTATGTTTGTTTGTAATTTATGGACTCGAAAACCGCTGAATAGATTTTCCTCAAAATTTCCACATATACTGCAACATCGCCTGAAAGTAACATAGGCTAAATACACTTTTGAATTTCCACTTGGAACTGGAGATATAGCATCAGAATCGGAGGTACCTCCCAAAAATTTAGATTTTATATGCACATATCTATTGATCGGTTAAAGATACAGTCTCCAAATTTGGAATGCGTAACGGAATTTGTAACAAAAATAAGTTTGCCAAATTATATTGTAATCGGTTCAGATTTGGATATAGCTCCCATATATATTTTCGACCGATTTCGTTCATTTGATGCCTCAAACACAATATGAATGTTCGATTCCAATGAAATTTGGAATGTGTGACGGGATTTAATCCGAAAATAAATTTGTCAAATTATATTGAAATCGGTTCAGATTTGGATATAGCTTCCATATATATTTTCGGCCGATTTCAAGCATTTGGTGGACCAAACACGATATGTATTTCCAATTTTAATGAAATTTAAAATAAGTAACGGAATTGGGAGCCAAAATGAATTTGTCAAATTAAATTGAAATCGGTTCAGATTTGGATAAAGCACCCATATATATTTTCGACCGATTTCATGTATTTGATGCACCAAACAGCTATGTATCTCTAATTTCAATGACATTTTGAATGTGTAGCGGAAATTAAAACAAATATACATTTGTCAAATTATATTAATAGCTCTCATATATATTTTCGACCGATTTCATGTATTTTAGGCACCGATTCCAAAGAAATTTGGAAAAATCGGTTCAGATTTGGATATAGCTCCCATATATATTTTCCGCCGATTTCACATATTTGATGCACAAAACACGATACATATTTCTGATTCCATTGAAATTCGGCATGAGTTGTTAAATTTGGTACAAAAATAAATTTGACAAATTATATTCAAATATGCTCAGATTTGATTATAGCTCCCATACATATACTCAGCCGATTTCATATATTTGATGCACCCAAAGCGAGAGAGACAAAATCTGGCACCAGAAAAAATTGCCAAATTATATTGAAATCAGTTGAGGTTTGGGTATAGCTAACATAAAAAGTGATTTGTTAAGAGCTTGATAACTTTTTAAAAAAAAAAACGCATAAAATTTGCAAAATCTCATCGGTTCTTTATTTGAAACGTTAGATTGGTCCATGACATTTACTTTTTGAAGATAATTTCATTTAAATGTTGACCGCGGCTGCGTCTTAGGTGGTCCATTCGGAAAGTCCAATTTTGTGCAACTTTTTCGAGCATTTCGGCCGGAATAGCCCGAATTTCTTCGGAAATGTTGTCTTCCAAAGCTGGAATAGTTGCTGGCTTATTTCTGTAGTCTTTAGACTTGACGTAGCCCCACAAAAAATAGTCTAAAGGCGTCAAATCGCATGATCTTGGTGGCCAACTTACAGGTCCATTTCTTGAGATGAATGGTTCTCCGAAGTTCTCCCTCAAAATGGCCATAGAATCGCGAGCTGTGTGGCATGTAGCGCCATCTTGTTGAAACCACATGTCAACCAAGTTCAGTTCTTCCATTTTTGGCAACAAAAAGTTTGTTAGCATCGAACGATAGCGATCGCCATTCACCGTAACGTTGCGTCCAACAGCATCTTTGAAAAAATACGGTCCAATGATTCCACCAGCGTACAAACCACTCCAAACAGTGCATTTTTCGGGATGCATGGGCAGTTCTTGAACGGCTTCTGGTTGCTCTTCACTCCAAATGCGGCAATTTTGCTTATTTACGTAGCCATTCAACAAGAAATGAGCCTCATTGCTGAACAAAATTTGTCGATAAAAAAGCGGATTTTCTGCCAACTTTTCTAGGGCCCATTCACTGAAAATTCGACGTTGTAGCAGATCGTTCGGCTTCAGTTCTTGCACGAGCTGTATTTTATACGGTTTTACACCAAGATCTTTGCGTAAAATCTTCCATGTGGTCGAATAACACAAACCCAATTGCTGCGAACGGCGACGAATCGACATTTCACGGTCTTCAGCAACACTCTCAGAAACAGACGCAATATTCTCTTCTGTACGCACTGTACGCATTCGTGTGGTTGGTTTAATGTCCAATAAAGTAAACTGAGTGCGAAACTTGGTCACAATCGCATTAATTGTTTGCTCACTTGGTCGATTATGTAGACCATAAATCGGACGTAAAGCGCGAAACACATTTCGAACCGAACACTGATTTTGGTAATAAAATTCAATGATTTGCAAGCGTTGCTCGTTAGTAAGTCTATTCATGATGAAATGTCAAAGCATACTGAGCATCTTTCTCTTTGACACCATGTCTGAAATCCCACGTGATCTGTCAAATACTAATGCATGAAAATCCTAACCTCAAAAAAATCACCCTTTATATATTTCGGCCGATTTCATACATGTTATCCACCAAGCATGATGTATATGACCGATACCAATGGAATTCAGAATGTGTGGCGGAATTTGGTTAGAATAATAAATGTGACAAATTAATTGGAAATTAGTTAAGATTTGGATATAGCTCCCATATATATATTCTCGGCCGATTTCACATATTTGACGCACCAATTTCAATGAAATATGAAAGGTGTGGCGGAATTTGGTGTAAAAGTATTTTTTTTTTAAATTATATTTAAATCGGATCAGATTGGGATAGGATTTTAATAAGAACCATTGACCCACAACGCTTTAGGCTAACACTAAAAAACAACACAACAATTAATTTGAAATACGCTTATTACGGCGAAGTATGTTGCTATCTCGAATTCACTAATTGCAATAGAAATGTCACTCAACTTCAAAAGATTGCAGTTTACTGCACGCTTGGTATTTGCTATGAAATAAATAAATCCGAAGGACAAGCCCTTCGTGTATGTATGCCATGTTACTGCTTTTCTAATGGTTTTGTTTATTTACGCATTCAAGTAGTGCAATAATTTTTTTTTTTTTTTTAATTTTTAAATTTGTTTTTTTTTTAACAAACATATATTCGTAAATAAAATTTGGAATGCAAATAATATCAAAAGGGGTAGCGAAGCGCACCTGGTTCAGCTAGTATTTCTATAATAACGCATAAAATAAAAAGCGCCATCTAAACTTAATGTTTTTTTTTTCAAAGAGTGAGCAAGCGTGCGCCATTCGATAGCAACTGCATTTTGTAAGCCTCAGAGTGACATCTGAATGTAATCAAACTGATAAGAATGTCCCGCAATTACTGTCTGAAAATAATCTTTTGGAATTTTTAAGAAATTATTTTTTACTTCACTCCACAATTACTACTTCAATTTCTATTTATAAGTGAATATAGCCAACAACAACATTATTTCATAGGAACCCTGTGGTTCCCTCAAGTTCTGGCAATTTTAACGTTATAGCCACATTTCACAAAATTAACAGGATTTAAATTGGTTGGTTGTATTCTCAAAGGTCAAAAACATCTTTGCATTCCAGATATTCTGGTACCAGCCTATGTTCTACAAGTTATGCCAATATATTGTGTAATTTCCTTAAATTCAAATTGTTTTGGCATATGAAACAATATTATTTAACATCGAGTAAGTACTATACATTTTATTGCAAATTTGATAACGATCAGATGTGAATATTGAAGAAATTAAGTGACTAATATTTTGCGCTCTTTAATTTAAAATATGCCAAACATTAAAATAAAACAGATATGTCTCAATTTTATTTGAGCTCCATTTCGCCGTTAAATAGTAATAATAATTAATTGGTTTCGTCTCTCTACTATAATATGCAATTGTTATAATAAACACTACTTTAACACTGTAATTGGCGCCATCTGTAATTAAGTTTTTTAAGTGTTTCGAAAGTATCTGCCATCTGTTTGTAAATTTATTTTTAAGTCGCCACATCGCCATTCGAGCATTATTTAAGTATCATCTGGATGTAATGCGAATGTGCAAAGGATTTATATGGCTAAATCTCATGCTAGACAAACAAAATTCAGTCTTACGTAATGTTCTCGAGGGGGCATATGAGTCACTGAACTAGTGAGCCAGTAGTTCATGAAGGGTCATATTGAGACATTGGAACTTGTGAGTTTGTAGTCCAAGAGGGCCATATAATTGTAGACGTAAACGAAATCAGCATAAATAAGCCTGAAGTTCGCCTTTTGTGTATTTCGGATATGGCCTGTTAGTAATGCTGGTATTTTTTCACACAAAAGTAGTGGTCCATTCTACCCGCTGTCCTAAACTCTAACTTCATGCGAGATTTCGTGTCTTTTATTTCTATTTGTGACCTTTATAACGGCTGCAAAATCAGGAACACTTTTAGTTGTTGGTCCATTTCAACCCCTAAATATATTGCGGACATCTTTGAAAACAATAGGCCTAGCCCTACCCTCGTGAAAATTTTCGTGAGGATCGGACGATAATTGCAATCTGTATATAATAACCCCAACCTGTAAAGTAAGGTGAAAGAATATTACAAAATGTACACTTCAATATGATAAGTCAAATTAAAAAAGTCGCATGCGATAAAAAATGAAAAAATACAAATTAACATGGACAGACGGACGGGCGGACACATAAAGCTAGATCGACTCAGCTCGGTGAGATAGGAA